CCCGTCGACCGGCAAGAGACTACCAATGTAGTGAAAGTTTTGGCCATTTATCCTAAAAATTGGTGGACCACCGTTCTTGTTTGCTAATCTATTTTACCACCCATGGACGTGAAGCAAAACATACTATTGTATGTTCTAATGTTTTGCAGGAATTGCTTGCTTTTTTCTCCTTCTCCAAAAAATAGATTGTAAATTGCATCTGGTGGCCTCAGGTTTGGTGGCAATTTAATCTTACCGTTGTTGCAACACATTGAATATCTTGGGGTGCCATGAATAACTGTTTTGTTTATCCTTTCTTCGTGCCAAAACAGCGCTCCACAATGTTGACACTTGTTATTTGCATCACCAAGATCTTTGTATTCAACTACATTGATAATTAATATAATTTAGGTCAATTATATAAGATGACCTTAAACATTTCATATTATGCATACACGTATTGAACTGATTATTATCAAAAAGGTGAATGCGATTGGTTTCTACACTAAACATAATAACGTACACATAAAATAATTTTGAATTTACGTAAGATTCTAAATAATAAAGGAATTACCATTTGGAATATGTTGTATAGGTTGTTGCGAATTTCGACCAATCCTACGATACAGTAATACATTTGATTTAAACAACTAAATACATAAACTTGAACATTTTTTTTGTAAAGTAACTTCGCAAATGTTAGTGTATGTTGAACTTACCACAAGTGTCTTCCATTTGTTCTAAAATGCGATTAGTATTGCAAACTTCTTCAAAATCTTGAAACAAATCGCGGTTGACCACATTATCTTGGCTATGGTCTTTACCCTCATTCATGCATGGACTCTTGTTGCATTGTCTGGTAGCGACTTTATTTTAAGTAGAAAAAAAAGGTCAATAATAAAAATAACTACTTAAGCAAACTTAAAAATAGATCGAACTTTAGAACTTACGGTTTGATATATTTTGTAGAGGTGATCGTGTGCTGTTCGACATAGTTATTGTACCCTCTGCAACAAATGAAAATTTTTTGTGTCTGTCATTGATGATATCCGAGTTCTGATATGAAATAAATAATATTAAGTATATGCCTTAATATAACTAACCGGGAAGTGTAGAGCTTGTTGTACAGGATGAATAGGGAGTTCTGCCCCCTAATACAAAATGTCTGGAGTTACTTTTGCTTGTCGTATATTCCATGAGGCATGTACTCATATTTATATTTATACTCTCTGGATTCACTGCAGGTTTCCAATAATGTTAAAAAAAATAATAATAAATTCTAAACAGTGTATTAGACCTAAGTAAATGCCAAACGGTATTACATTTGAAAAGACATGAGCGTTTACCTGTTGTTAGACCACTTTTTGGTGTATCACTTGAAGTACCCACTTGTAGTGGTGTGCATTCCGTATGTAACTTTGAGCTATTTTTTTTCAAAATAGCGTTAGAGTACTTGTAACCGGAGAATTTTCAACATTTTCTGCAATTAAAAGGTGCAAATATTCATAGATAAGTACCTTTACTTTTAAACATAACGATATGATTATCAAAATAATTCCAAATAAAATACATTTGTAATATACTAATTTCTGAAAATTGAGCTACGTAAGTTATATATTGTGAAAGTGACTTTTTATTCTACCTAGTGTACATAATTGTATATAATGTACCATAAGTTTAAAAATTATAACTTAAGTGATTGAAATAAATTAATTTAACATTCAAAAAAAATAAATAAATTACATTTAAATATACTTTGAGTATATTAAAAATGTAGATGATGGACCAATTGTTCACACAATATTGTGGACCATTATCCACAACCTAGATTTGACCAATAATTCTATAATTAAAAAAACAAAGCAAAATTTACCTACTAATTATACCAAATATAATGTTAGAATACTGTCATTTGCATTTAGGGGTCTTCTAGATGGATCTGCCATTTCTTGATCCATTCTCTTCCACACTCTCGTACAGCTAGCATCTTCTCACATCTACCTAACCTTATCTCTCTATCTGTTCAGACAAAAAACCCCATCTCCGACAGTAGAACTCGTCATCTGCCATTACAGTGTTGAGATCTTCTTTAATTCGTAGAAGATCTCAACCCCTAAACCGATTGCAGTAAGATCCGATTAGGGTTCATTTGTGAAAACCACACTGAGATCGGTTTAGTTGTTGTTCGAGGATCTGAACTATTAATCTCCGATCTTGGTTTTTAGAATCGGATCGGCATTTTTAAGGTTCTAACGTCAAGCTTCGTATCTCAATCTTCAATTACTATCCTATTCGACTACATCAGATGTAAGGTAAGCAAGTCTTATACCCTATCGTAGTTTGTATTTGCTTATAGATTAAGTCTTACCGTCTAATTGTAGATCAAATTTAATATTTTTTTTTTGTTTCCTAATTCTAGATCAAGCAGATAAGAAAAATGGGTCCGTACGGTGTTCATGACTTAGATGCAGATTAAAGGACTGAAATGCAAGATAAGTTTAAGAGTACAAATTTGTTTGTCTAAATTCTTATCTTAGAATATTTAACATATTCTAGATCTTTAATTTGTTTTTTGTATTATTCTCTATATACCTAACATCAGACATTATTGGCTTCTTAGTATTCCTAGGATATTATACACTAACCAAATGATACCTAATTTAATTACAGAGGTGTAGTTGTTAGATCTATATGTACACATTCAAAGGTGGGAAGGTAAGCAGGCATCAACAGAGTTCAATAGGTGTAAATTTGTGCAATGAACCAAAAATTCTTAGGTAAAGTATAAATTTTCAGTTTCAAGCAGTGTTTATGGTACCTTGATTGTCGAATGTTTGCTTCCTTTTGCTTCCTATTATTGTAGAAGCAACTATTTTCCTCATATCTGAGCTGTTATTGTTTATGTTCCTGTGTTTTGTTGTGATTTTATTTGTATTAGAAATAGTTGTATTCAAATAGGTTAAGCTTTTATTGGGTTTTTAGCATTTAAGAGTGCAGTGTAATAGTAATGATGAAAAGCAATGATATGACTCTTCATTTTTTATTGGAAAACAACAAAGCCAATTAGTTTTTATGATATTGAATACACATGTTCCACTTTCTTTTAATTATTTAGTTTATGATGTACAGAGTTTTGTTTTCTGATGACTGGTTAAGTATGCTGTACATTATCTATGCTATAAATTATTGTCTAGTCTGTAAACAGATTTTGTGTTTACACTTTTTTTTTGGTCTTTTCAATGTTCCAGGTTATCCTAATAACTTCATCATTTTAGTTGTGACTAACATTTTTTCTAAGCTTTGGCAAATGATGAAGTTACAGTTCTGATGCCCTAACTGTAAACAGCAACTTAGTGGATTGCAGAGAAACCATTTTACATGTCTATTTCCCTTTTTGGTTGATAAGCCTTAATTATTATTCATATAAATAGTTTTTGCGTTTTTAATATTTAGTACATCCAATTTATCTTCCAAAGGTTATCTGATATGTACTGTGATGTCCAAGTTGTTAGGCCTAAAATGTCAAAGTTTTTCTCATATGTACTGTGCTGATCCAGTTCCAAAGCAGTCTGACTTTGTAATGCTAAAAGAGCAGTTTTACTACTCATTGTAAAATTTCAATGTGTAACAGTTTTAAATTATATTTACTTCAATGGATTGCAGTTTACCAAATGTTTTTACTCATTTATCCTAAATATATTCTATTTAGTATATTTTGAATAGAATAAAACTGAATAGAAAGAATATACTGTTTAAAGGTTGTTTTGATTGGTGGTTTAGGATTTAATTGAGTTATTTATACACTTTTCTTCTTTAGAAATTTGACCAATGTAATAGTTATGTTAAAAAAAAACACAAATAGACATTACTTTGAATTGTTTATTTTGTATTCACATTTTATCACAATTAGTCTGAATTGTACTGTTATGAGTCCTATGTACTGTTATGTAGTGTTAACATTAGGTGTGATATGTACTTTTCCTCATGTCAACAGTGTTAGTCCCAGATTGTGTACTTTGGTTTCAGATAGACATGATCATACATCTTGTAATTTGAAAACAACAGTTTTATTTTGTAATGAGGAAGTTACTTGCAGTGTCACTCCTCTATTTCAAATTTACCTGTGTATGAGTTTTTAATTGACATTTCTAGGCTTGATTTGGGTTCGGTATACATTTGACTTCTTAAAATGTAATTTCATTTGAAACTGACCAAGTGAATTTATGCTGAGTTTTTATTTTTTTTACTCTTTAAATAATGTTTATTTAAAGATATACGAATGATAAGTGTATTGTGTTTGTTCTTTGTTTTTTGATGCATAAAAACACCAAAAATATACAGAAACTTAATAAATAAAGTCAAAAGTGTGAGCAGTTTCTTTTATTTAAAACTTAATTTCAAACTGCTTAAACTTAAAAGTGTAGGCAGTTTCTTTTCATTATAGTTTGCCAGTGATGATATTTAGAGTGTGTGAGTTAATTATTTTAATAGAGTACGATGTTTCCAATGTAAATAACTTATTTTTTTTTTTTGGTCGAGAAAAAACCATTATTTTAATTACCAATGTTTGTCTGTATAAATAACCATTTTGATTGTATATATCTTTTTTTGTTGTATCATACTGATCAAAGACTAAGTTGTACACTTTTTGGATGATAGTTTGCTAATGCTCTACATTTAAAGTGTGTGAGTTGTAAAGTACCAGAACAGTCTGTTACCATTGTAAATAATAAGTTTGATTACATTTGATAGAGTCCATTTTCATTGCATATATCTTTTTTTGTTGTATCATACTGATCAAAGACTAAGTTGTACACTTTTTGGATGATAGTTTGCTAATGCTCTACATTTAAAGTGTGTGAGTTGTAAAGTACCAGAACAGTCTGTTACCATTGTAAATAATAAGTTTGATTACATTTGATAGAGTCCAATTAAGAATTCAGACTTAATAATTGATAGAGTACAGTTTTCAAAATAGCAGATTGCTACAGATTAGTAATTGAAAACCCTTGTGTGTTACACTAGTTGAATGTGTTTGCTTCCTTAACTACCATATTCTTGTGCTTGATTCCTTGTGCTTGATTCCTTGTGATTGATTCCTTGTGTTTGATTCCTTGTGGTTGCTTCCCTGTGGTTGCTTCTTTCTTGTCCTGCATTCAGATTCATACATCTAACAGTATATGTAATAAACATAGTGTAATGAATGTTTACCAAAAATCATAGGTAAAAAACAAAGGTAAATAGTCTAATCATAGATCTCAATAACATGAAATTGTTCAGGACAAACACAGTCCAATTTAACATGGCAAATGATCATTTTAAAAATATTAAAAAAAAAAACCACAATAATGTGGTAATAGTTTGTAGTATCCCAGAACAGCTCAGATTTTTTCTTGTTTAACCACCACAGTTTTTCCCTTCTTGCTAGAGGATGAAAACTGGTCCATAAGCGATCGCTTCACACCATCTGCCTCTGAATGATCATTGTCTAGGCTTTGAGACTGATGTAGATTTAATGGACTGTTGACCTCATTGTCTCCATTTGAAGCTTCCTGCATATTAAAATAAAGTTTAGTCTAAAACCTGTCAACCATAAGATTAAAACTGTACAACTTTATTTGACTTTATAAAATAAGCAAAACCTGATCCGAGTCCTCCTCTTCCTCCTCGTCCTCATCTAACATTTTTGATATCATGTCCTTGTCTTGGTCTTCAATCAGTTTAGAACAGTATGCTGACACTAAGGCTTCATCCCTTAGAACTTTCATAACAGTGTACGCTGAATTAGCTCCCTTCATGAACTCCATTTTTAATGATATCCTAAATACCATTCTCATACCCACTAATGTTTCCAATTCTTTTGGAATGTCAGAAACCTAACCAAAAAAAATAAAATACATTCTAGTAAGAAATATCATCTCAGACTCTGTATGTACGTGTTTAGTTTAGAAGAAATTTAATTTTACCTTATTATACTTTGTGTACAAACTGTGTGCTGGGATACCAACTAATTCAGAACACTCCCTATCCCATAATAGGAAGGGAGCATCATCTAGACCTTTATCTAGAACAATAACTCTTACCCGATACCTTGCCATTCCTTCTTTATATTTCTTATCACAATTGGTACAAATCAGTTCACCTGATTCGTCTGAAAGTTTTCTATTAGATCCCGGTGACATGCAAGAAATGTACATCCATCCGAAAGAACCTTCAATTGCAACAATTTCAGCAGGTACATAGAACTCCCCATTCTGCATTTTTTTTTTTTTTGTTTTAAACTAATTGGTTAGTCTTTCATATGTAATCTATCTTATTATAATAAGAGATAGGTATCCAAACTGTATTTATGACTCTTTATAAATATAGAGACTAACCTGTTTCTTTTTCAACAGATTAAATACTGTAGTTACAGTCAAAGCACCCCTGGTAAAGTCATCTAAGCCTGCTGATTGAGACAGCACTGTTGCTGTACTTATACTGCGCAAAGGACTGTTTGGAGCAGTTAACCTACAGGTAAAATTAATAAACAATTGTATAAATGTGTAAAACAATAGTTTTGAAAATGTAGAGTGTAGATAAATAAAAATTTAGGCACTTACTGAGACCTAAAATCAGCAAATTCCTGGTAAGATGCATTGAAATGAAGTTGGGTAGCATCATAGCAGCTAGTGATTCTGACTTCACCTATTTAGCATGATAGATGTAAATGAAGACTGGCAAACCTAGAAATAGTGTAAAAGAATAACCTAACATTATAACTTACCATTGACCACCTTCGCCCGACATAGCTGTAGTACCAAAATTAATGGTTCTTTAAGACCTGCATCATAGTAGGGTAGCATGGCAGCAACATGACTGTCCCACACAGTGCACTGTAAGGTATTTCCCCTATAGGCAAGTGTGTTAGAAAAAAATTAATGTCTTGAAATATAGGAACAGATTTGTAATATGAAACTTACTCATTATCAGCCATTTTAAAGTCTATGAGTTTTGCTGGTCTACCCACTATTATCTTGTCAACTGGAGGATGGATCTCTACAACTCTGCCTATTAAATCTGTATCATCACAAAATAAATGAATAGTAGACGAAATACAAAAATAGTTCAAAGAAAAATAGCAAAAGTAAGATCAAAATACTTACCAAACAGAACCTTGTCATTCACTTGAGTAGGGTCTTTCAAAGAGTCATAGTTTTTTAGTTGAAACATCTTAGTAGGAAAACCTTTGGATTTTATGGCCTTAACCTGAGTCTTATAGTTTGGCCTGATCATATACTTGTGATCACAAGTTTTGTACATATAGTAGTGGGTGAAGACCAAAATTTTTTTGACTGAATACAGCTTCCCTTCTATGAAAACATTGTTATATTTTTTCACATCGTTATTTTGCATGTTCAAATGAATGAAAGTTCCCTACAATAATGTTAGTGAAATAAATAAAACATTAGAAATAAATAAATAACCCTAAACCCTAAACCTTAAACATTGAAGAGAAAACAAAAAGTGTAGATTTAATATCTGTTTAGCGCCTTGATTTGGTAGAGCAAGAAAATGGTTTAGAGACTTTAAACAGTAAAATAAAATATTACACACTATACTAAAATATAGCTCATAAGGATAACCTGGAACACAGTTAAACAGTGAACAGAGTACAAAAATGTGTACATCAGAATTCTGTTTAAAGCCTAGATAATGTAGAGCATAGATAACATAGAGCATAGTTAATCAGTGAACAGAAAACAAAAATGTGTACATCAAAATTTGTTTAAAGCCTAGATAATGTATAGCATAGTTAATCAGTGAAAAGAAAACAAAAATCTGTATAGCAAAAAACTGCTTAAAGCCTAGAAAATGTAGAGCATAGATAATGTACAGCTTAGTTAAACATTAAAAAGAAAACAATAATGTGTAGATAAAAATTCTGTTTAAACACTATATTTGGTTGAGCATAAATCTGTGGAGAGCCTAAAAATTAAACAGTAAAAGAAAATATTAAACTGAACATCATACCTCTTTATCGCAAAACAACACTTCTCGACTCTTAATCTCTGTAGACCCTTTTTCAGGGATTTCGTAACATATAACACACTTTACTCTGATGGCTTTCTCCCTATCGAGAGGACCAATATCCTTTACAGCTACGTACATTGACATGGTTTCTTTGCTGATTTGTTTGTTTTCTTTCTTCTGTTTGGCAGGTGATACAAACTGAAGATAAGGTGGAGTGGGGAGTGGATGTCTCCATAGTCATATGCTTATATACAATGTAATACTGCATTTCAAAATCTATGATGTTATCTTGGAAGTATGAATGCTGCGGACAACCTTTCAGTTTTCAAGAGCATGGTGATCAGACTTGAGTCTCTTTATTATGAGTGTATTTATATTTATTTATTCGAGATTTGAGAAGTATGTTTTCGAAGAAGTCTTTAATATAAAGAGTCTCTTTAGAAGTCTGTAACTAATAGAAGTCTATTTAAAATGCTTTATTTTAGTTGGTATTACCAAAAAATTAGCCGGCATAATTTAATTGCACGCGTTAATCTTTATTGAGCGCCATTTACTGTAGACTTGAGTTTATATATATGAAGTGACGTCGTTTCATTTGAGCGGGAAAATGGTTTAGATAGAAAGTTGTTGCTTTATTATAATAAGAGATTTGTAAAGTTGTAGTCAACAGTGATAATACCATTTGTGAATAGTGAATACAAGCCAAACTTGCTGATGCCATGTATGATATACTATAACCCAAATGTTCATCGTATCCGATCCGGCCATTTCTCGGCGACGGCGCCAGGACAGTCGTCCCTAGCGGATTTAAAAATATATATTGTTGGGCAGAAGATCAAGACTAAACAAAATCGAAACAAATTATAAAGTTCGTATCAATTCATCAGGTTTAGTCTTAACAATTATAAATATCAGAAACGGTGATTACGCGTGGTAATATAATGTAACCAAGCCCAAGCCCTTAGGATTGGAGTTCAGCCTTTTAGAAGAATATAATGTAACTAAATTGGAGTAATTAATTTAATTACAGATTTGGTATGAACCGTCTATAGTATACTCGTCAGCTTGCGCGCGGTTTCATAACAACTATTCCTCATTAAAAATAAAAATTAGTACAATAGTACCCATCATCATTATTCATCATCATTAAAAGGTTGAACAGAATTTTGTACGTATGGATATTACAAGTGAGGAAAAAACCAAAGAAATCTAAAGTTGAGATTATATTATATTCTTGCTAAGTAGTAGAGGTGGCTAAAGTCCAGGCCGGTTGCATCTAAGATTTTTATTTATTTATTTATTTTTATATAAAATAATTATAATTTTTTTTGTTTAAAATAAGATTGACATCATAGTTAACAAAGTTATATCTATCTAATTGAGGGCACTTCAACTTTTTGATACAATAATAGTAATATATATAGGGTCACTCTTGTGCAAGATTGATTCACGGATCCTTATTCGTGAGACAAGTCGGATCAATATGAAAATATAATACTTATACTAAAAAATCTAATACTAATTATGAATAAAATGTTTGCTACTTATAAAGGAAAGTGTAAAAATATTACATTTTTATCTTGACATCGTCATTTGTTAGCCCTGGATCATTCTAGATGGATGGATCAAATTAGCCCACACAAGAAACCTAGCTAACATTTGATAAGCCCACTAACTTATTATCAAAAACTAAATCATCAAATGAAAAGTGTCATGTCAAGAGGGAGATTAGTAGGGGTGTGCATGTGGAATTGATAGAGACTTATGCCGCCTGCCCGCCTCACATGTCTTCAAGCCTTTTACTTCATATCATCTCAACTTCAATTGATCATATATCATTGTTAATTCATATATAATTCAGTCTTGTTTTAGACTAACTACAAATTTATGTATTGTATATATGTAATACAACGTAATTAATACATTAAATATGTGTTTAATCCATATCCGAGCTGATTACCGTTATTAAGAGTTGAAAATAGTCAAAACACAATACAAATTGATGGAAGCATGCCGGGTTATCATGAAGTATTAAGCGACAAAACACAATCATCAAGTAATAGCTCCAAAGTGAGGTCTTGTCTAATGTGTAACAGCAACGTAACGACTTTCTATGTGAAGCACTAAATTACATTTAATGATGTCTGGTGCAATGCATCTCTATCATACCTAAATTATCTAGATCTGTAAAATTTGTTGAATTGGACTTACTGTGCCATCACGGAACTTAATTTTTGATTGTAATATTTGAACCAAATATCAAAAAAAAAAAAAAAAAAAAAATCGTTCAATGTAGGATGAATGCATAATGGAACCACTTGCTATCTTCTAAAGTTAGTTGTCAACAGTGAAAAAAAAAAAAAAAAAACATGAATGAACCTTATTAGAACCTAGCTATTTCCGGGCAGAGCCCTATTGAGCACAATGTCATTTCGAAATAATGAAAAATACAACTCCTCAATTATTTGGTATGCCAATTTCAATCAATGAATAATATAATTACCAAGCTGGCGGCGATTAAGGTAATAAGGTCTGATGAAGCTGAGATATGATGTTTCACATGCGAGGGTGGGCCAATGTTCTAGACAAGTATGGACCTTAAACCACACCCTAGCCGCGAGCACTCATGCGTGGGCCACGCATATCTCTAAGCCCAATTCGTTGTATGGATGTTTCTAGAAATTACCAACTCTCAAAATCCAACATTATATTCTACCTCATCACAAACTATTTATTATTATTCACTCTACAACTACAAAGGAAAATGCCACCAGGCAAAGGCCAATAAGAGCCAAGTTCAACATCATATAATTAGAATGATTGTTGAACGGAGGTTGATAAAGAGTCAAGTTCAATATTTTGGCTCTTGAAAATGTATGACAGTATTAGAAAATAAAGTTATTACTAGATATAGCATTTGACGTAGTGATTAGCGTTTGATCCTAACAAGTGATATCAAAGTTAGATCACAAACCAGTTAAGACTAATTGGTGCTTGAAGTGAGATTACTAGGCAGAGATCGATAAAGGGTCAAATTCCTATAAGTGATTAACTCAAACCAAGAAAATCACTAAATTACTCACTTTGTCACACTAATGTCATGTCACCAAAACCAACACTCAATTCTTTATTTTAATACAAGCGCTCAACAGAATTACTCGTGATATGATGAGACTTGGCGTCGGCTAACCCACCGTCGTGGCGATTTTATGCGGAAGTTGGGTAAATGTTTTTTGTTAGGTGTAACTAGGTTTTTATCGTCGGACACAATAATTAATTCTTTCGTTGAATTGTACGTATCTTTTTGAGTGGGATAGTTGGCTGCTCCATACTCAGAAGTAAAAATATCAAATTTTTAACTTTTGATTAAAAATGAATGAGTCACTTTCATTCAATCAGACCCCAAATTAAAGTTGGTAAATGTTGATGGAGCATTTATTAGTAGAAGAAGATGAGAGTGGCCCAGATCGTGTAGGAAGTGACAGTGCAGGGCCACGAATGCTTCCCACCGTGAAAACTCACAATCCAGAATCAACGCAATATCGCATCTTTCTCATGGTCAATATAATTACGGTTGAATTCATTTAATAATTCCCAAATTCCACCTGCCATACTCACACGTAAAGTAGCAGTTAATAGTGTTATATATTCTTTCAATTCAAAAAAGAAAAATAGAAAAAAACTATAGGCTATAGGTATATAATATTAATGATGATAGCGGAAATTGAATATAATTACGCGTTAAACGGCCACACATTAGTCGTAGGACTATAATTTTCCCTCAACATATGGGAGAGGAAATAAATGTGTGTCCCTACAATGATTTGAACCGGAAGACGCCTGCCTCACACAAATCAAATTACCGTACGACAAATAACGATCGCATATTCTGTCTATACCACTTTGCCTGCATCTTTTCTTTCCTTTTCAATAATTTGATATTTCTATTTACATTTTCTTTTTACCTTTTACTTTTGCTAAAGTTTAATGTTCAGTACAATTATATATTCATGTACAAAACTTTTACTTTTTACCTGTACCCGTTTTAATTTTAAATTTACAACACTCCTACACAAGAATTAATGTGTCTTTGAAAAGACCTTTTGGAGGGATTTGCTGACGGCTAATTTTGTAAGTGTTGTGAGACTCAAAATTTTATAGTGTTATTTAATTCGTTATCTTTAAATATTTTAATAACATCAAAATTAAAATTTTGAAATTGTGTAACATACTTCTCAGTTCTCACTATGCTAAAGAGTACTTTCACAGTACCCTAAAAGGGTGATCAAGTGAGTGAGGTATGATTTTTGTATCATAAAATCACAAGTTCGATTGAGGTTGACCACTTCTTTATAATTCTTAAACTATTATATAAGAGTGGGTATACAGTATACTGTTGCACACTTTTCAGATAGTAGTGGTAAAAAGGGAATGAGTAAGAGAGACATCATGAATATTTGATGAACCAAATTAAAGGAGCAGTAAGTTTTCATGATGATTTCATCATCCTCCTAACATCTATCTGTCATTCTGCCTCTAATATGCTTTAAATAACCATTTGGACTAATTCTCTATATTCAACTGCTCAGTCTTTTCTCAAATATAACCTTAGATTAGATACCCCTGTCACCCCCCTCTCCCCCCCTCCCCACCCACCACCCCCTTTTGGTCTTCCATTAAAATATGCAAATATACTAAACTTCTTAAGTGATTAAAGAAGCAAACATTTTCTTTATTCCCCTAAAACCTTGGTGTATAAATAAAGAGCAGAGGAGCAACTAGTACAAAAAATATCCCCAGAAATTGAGAGTGTTGTGCGATTCAAGACTGTAAGAAGATCATCAGAGAAATGAAGAAATGTGAACTGTGCAAGTCTCCGGCAAGAGTGTTGTGCGATTCAGATCAAGCCAATCTGTGCTGGGAGTGCGATGCAAGGGTTCACTCCGCCAACTTCCTTGTTGCCAAGCACACCAGAACTCTTCTCTGCCAGGCCTGCCAATCCCAGACGCCATGGACAGGCTCAGGCCCCAAGCTCGGCCCCACAGTCTCTGTTTGCCAGGCCTGTTTCTCCAGAAACTCCACCACCACTGCTCCAGTAGATCATGATCTTGAGAATAATGGCGCAGAGGATGAAGAAGAAGATGATAATGAGGGAGAAAATGGTGGAGAAGAAGAAGAAGAAGATGATGATGATGATGAAGAAGAAGAAGAAGAGGATGATGATAATCAAGTAGTTCCATTCTCTTCTTCAACTCAGCTGCAGCCTCCTTCCCTCCCTTCAACTTCCTCCAGCAGTGAAGATTCTTCCACCAGATTTTACAGAGAAACAGACCCAAATGGGTTCCTCTCTAAAAGAACAGATGAAAATGCCAGTTCCCATTATGATGTGAGTATTCCTAGCTACCCACTCTTCTCATCTTCATCACCATATCTGTTTCTTACTATCTTCCTTTCATAATTTATTTAAAAGGGAATCGAAAGACCCGATGAGAATGCATACCAAAGGACTACGAGGTCATGGACATGGAGATAAACCACAGAGAAGCAAATTAAAGACTTAATTTTTATGATTTGCAGTGATATGATGATGTTTGTTGCATCAATAATTAATCTTGAGTTTGTAAATGGCATCCAAGGTAGCTTAGCTTAGTTTTTCTTACCAATCAACTTGCTATTTAGTGTCTCTAAACTACTGTTCTTAACTTTTAAAAATATCTGCTTAGTTGATTAGCTGATGCTTTGTATTTGTATTATAATACCAATTTTCTTGAAATGGACAGTTTTGTTTTGCCCAATTTGCTTATATATTATTAGTGGGGAAAAGATGACACAGCCCATACCCTTTCACTTAAAGATGAAAATAACTTATTAGTCAAGCTTACACTCATTCACTCCACAAAGATGATATCAATTCATGCCATGATATGTTGCTTAGTTTTGAGACATGATTAGATGAGCCTAGCTTGTCCGCATTAGTTCCAAGTAAACTTGCTATTTTGGGGCTTTTCATTGGACCCCATAACATGTGGTGGTAATAGTTATCTCATCACGTACTATAGCTAACTGTTAGTATCTGGCCTACTAATGTAACTTTAAGGTGAAATGCTAACCGAATATCGAAGGAACTCCTTCCATTATATTATACCACATACTGTATTCTTTGCTCATATGGTCATTGTTTTGGTCGTGACACTGAATTTTTAATAATATCCTTTGATATACGTGTTGGTGAGTTATAGAAGAATCCATGGTTGGGTTTCACATCAAACCAACCAAAATGATGGGCGAGAGAGAGAGAGAGAAGGATGTATGATTGGTATGAGGTCTTGGCATAGACAAAAATGTAGATGACACTAAGGTTTTGGCCTCTTGTGCTTTTGGTTTGGTTTCTCTTCCGTGGCTACCAACTAAGCTTTTTAGACTAAGACTAAGATGTCACAACCCACAATATAATCCACTTGGATGGGTAGTAGTATAGGCTCGTGCAATGAACCTCAAACTACATATTGGTTTTTAATTTGATTGAAAGCATTGCCACTCCTTCTGGGTGGTGGTATCCATTCCAATCCCACCTGCGCCACAAGTTTTGATTGCTCTTTTTCATCCGTACTTTAAAATATATTCATACGATAATGAAGCTCAGCTTGAACTAACTGGACCCAGAATATAAATATAGAAACGAGAGGCACATGTTTTGCTAAGCTAAGATTGTCTGCCATCCAAGATTAAATGACAGCTGAACACATTGTGTTAAGGTTAAAGATATCCTAACCTAATATTTCGGGATTGTAATCCTGGGTAGATAGGATGCCAAGAATCTTAAGCCTTAAACAAGTAATAATAAATTAAAGAATTAGTGGAAGATAATATTTAATGGGATGGGAGGGAGAGAATCCTAGTGAAGAATTTTAATAAAAATGCCCCCCAGACACTGCCACGTGCTTAACACGATTCTTATTTGTAAACAAATTGCAATTGGCTACGTTGTACTCATAAACTAATTGGTGGTTTTTCCCAAGAAAGGGAGGGAAGGAAGGAGAGAATCAGGGAAAGGAAATTCTTGTGGTGGTCACATATTGCGTGACACTTTTAATTTTTGTGTGGCGCGACCGACTATGTGATTGCCACTTTTAGAAAATCTCTCCACCATCAAGGCATCAACCATTATTTTTTTGAATGCCATTACTCTTAATATTCATATTCAAACAACTAGAGGTTGGAGTATGTGTTAATGGATTTGTCATTTGTAGTGCTGTCAATATTATAATGACACGCAATACGTAGTTTAACCACAAATGACTGAACGGGAACGTAACTTGTTATTTTTGGTGTAGACTTGGAGGGTCAAGTTCACTCTTGCTTGTGTGGATTTAAAATGTGATGTTAATGGTTAAACAAGGTTAATGAAATATAATTTTGCATTTACAACATGCTAGTTATAGTATTTTTTTTTTTTTTTACGTAGTAATAAACGTTCAATCATGATACTTACATAAACACAAACATATATAATATTTAAATAAGTAGACATGTTTAATTAACAGTTTTCAAGTGAACATGATACGACACAAATAGGACATGATTGTACATTTAAACTACTAGCTCATTAAATGATTAATTTTTTTTCATTTAAATCATTAATCATCGATCTCCACTAACCAAAAGAGTGCATGGAGTACACCCCGCTCATGTGTAATAACTTGCAAACCACACAAAGAGAGGTAAATCGCACTACGAAAATCCTATGCAATGGACTTAACCGAGAGAGTGTTCACCAAAATAGAATTCATGATTGGCCTTTTGGTACGAGAATCATGTTTCACCTATTTAGCCACCCTTTTGGAGATGATGGGGCATTTAAAACATATATCTTGGGATTCTTTGTTTCTTGATCTTTTTTTTATCTATGGGTTTTATAGCCATAGAGACCCTTGGCTTTGCAAATGATAGCCACCCACATTTCCGTAGTAGTGTATCTCAAGTTTTGTTTTGTTTCTTTGTTTAGTCAATTGCTTAACATTCAAGAGTCTCAATTCCTATCATTCTTCTTCCTTTTTTAGGGAGGAATTCTTCCTTTTATTTACTTTTCTCCTACTTGTTCATCCAATTCTGAAAAGTATAATCTCTCATCATTAAATATAAAACCTATATTTCCAAATTCCCATGAATAATTTATTAATTATATCAACAATTTTTGTCGGCCTCTAATATGTGAACCTACATATACATAGTTTTTGATACCGCTGGCAAGTTGCAACCAACCAGATTTTTGTTCTGAATCCTAGTTTTTCTTCTGATCTGTTCCACAGGTCCCCACTTTGATGAAGACCTTCAACTTAAAACAAAATTTAGAAATCATCCTAATAATGCCACAAATTATGTCTCTTCTATCCCACCTACCCCTTCCTTCAGATATTCTCAGAATATCTTTCTTTTTTTCTTCATATATTGAACAATATTATTTATAATAGAATATTGCTTATATATGATTATATAAAGATCAGAATTACCAGAATAAGCTAATCTTGAATCCTGATAAATGGGGGACAGGAATATAAGCAAATGCAGGTGGTTGTGTAGGCTTCTTCTAGTGTACTATGCTGATTTGAAGATAACAGATTGACAGACAGACATAATATTCGATTCCCAGGTAGGTTTCATTAAAAGGACCGAAGTGTACTAGAATTCAAAGCCACTTATTATCTTCTGGGTGGCCAAACGCAGCAGATAGATGCTATAGACTTAAAATCTATCCAGAAACACTCCACTTTCCAAATGATTGGACTTGAAACTTCTAAGCTGTACCCCAATATATTTGAGGATTTTGAGCCCTTGGTTTCATGTTTGGAATATATTCTTTGTTTGATGGCCGGGATTATAAGCCACCACCCATTATGCTAATCATAATTTTATTCTCAAATTAACACTCATACATGCATCCCGGAATTTAAACTCGAAACAAGCAAGAAACAACGAGCATGGGGGGTATTTAGGAGAAGCATTTCAAGATTTATCGTGTTGAATGCAACCAAACTTGAAGGGTACCGTACATGAAAAGCAGCGGAGCCTGTTTAAAGACCTAAACCAGAGCAAAGATGCTCAATCGACTTTACCAATCAATCCAGATTTTATGGACCTGAAACAATGCGTACAAACCAGAAGCTAGCACAACAAAAGCTCTCAACACCACCAAATCCGTTTCTTTGATGAGGCATAGGTCCACAACCAGCTGACATCATTTCATATGTTTCCAAACATCTCATCTTTAGCATCTATTTGCTGAAGAAGCCATCTACGCATCTGCATCGTGTGATGTATGTATATAGTCTGATGTTATTTGTCTTGTTCACATCAAAAATGAAAACACTTAGCATAATATAAAAGGTAAATAGTTAAATACCATATTATTTCAAGACTTGATCTGCAAAGGGAACATCTTAGTTTAATTTTCCATTTGGTAAGTAGAGAAGCCTCCCCATATGCGGAGAGTGAGGCATAATGAGGGCATATTGTCACAATGATACACAAGTTGTTGATGACTAAATACATAAGAGATATACTAACTTGCACCAACAAACATAAGATTATGCACAAGGAGCCATAGTCATGGATTACCATTTGTCACCAAAAACCAAATTCCTTAGGCGTTAAAAAAAATTGGGGAAAAGGGTCAAATGGGCCTTCAAACTATATAAGAAAAAGCAATTGGGCCTCTGAACTTTAAAAGTTGCAAGTAAACACATCAACTCATCAATTTGATGCAATTAAACCGATAACTTGTCAAATTGTTAGTTGTTACAATTAAGTCAATTATCCAGTAAACCTTTGGTAAAACAAGTAAAAATATGATGATGTATGAATTTTTAATTAAAAAGACAAATTAAAAATTATTTTAAAAAAAATATAATAGTCATCAGTGGTAAATCTTCTATGGCGCCTATTTGTCTTCTCCAGCGCTTCTCCATCCAGATGGCTTCTCCATCCGTAACTGGCTAATTGGTTTAATTGCATCAAATCAACAAATTAATGTGTTTAATTGCAACTTTTTAAAGTTTAGAGGCCTAATTACTTTTTCGTATATAGTTCGAGGGCTTATTTAACCTTTTCCCAAAACTGTGTTCCTATTCAAGCAGAGCTTGCAACATAGAAACTATACCCTTTCGGGTCAAAATCACTATTATCTGTGGATGAATCATGTATGATGAGTTTCCATAGCGTTCTTACACCTAATTGCTTGAATCTTTAAGGTAAAGGAGTTCTGATTACTGATATACAAAGCAATGCCAGCCAGGGAATTCCTGAAAATGAAGCTTATATTGGGTGGTTGTGAACCGTCTAAGTTTGTTGATCTTAAGGTTTATAACTATTGTTTTCCTATTGTTCTTTAACCATAACTGCTCTGATCTTCCCTACAATGATTCTCCAGCCCGTCATGTTACTGTTGTTATAACTAGTCTCTAATGACACAAATTTTCTGCCTTCGCCACCATTACCTCACAGCAAGATAGCCAGTTCCAATGATAAGATACTAAAAGGAATACCAGTAGTTTCAAAGGAAATAAACTCAAGATCCCAGTTTTTCTCTATACAAATTCGAAGTAAAGATATGAAGGACCTCCAACATTTTTTTTGATAACCACCAAGGTTCCTAGAATACCTCATTTGGAAAAGTCATCAAAGATCCTAGACAAAAGGGCAGAGTTTAATTACTTCTTTTTTTTTTTTTTTTTTTTTTTTTTAAATCATCATAGGAGGAAGGAAACGGGGAAGAAAAGGGCCCTTAGTCAACTTTTTAAAACTATGCCAACACAAACCTTCACCCAAATTCCACCCAACCAAAGAAAACTTCATACTAGATTGTGAATTTATCAACACTCAACTTGTTTTAGATCAATTTCAAATCAATATAAACAAACACCAAACAACTAACTTAACCCTATAAGAAAGAGTCACATCATCCTCTACTCTCACCAAGAAATCCATGGCACTTGTCAACAAAATAGATGCATACATGAATTTCAAGTAATCATCCTACACCTATATCAAACAATTGAAAATAAAACGAAGTTTTTCTAACCGTCAACTTATTCACACAATATGTAGCATCAGTTTGCACAATAAACTACTTCCTCATTCTGATTGCAGACTATACTTAATTGCCTGCACTTCAAAATAACCTACGTGTAAACCATCCAATTAAGCCCCCTAGGTTATCAAGTTTCGCTATTATGAAGACTCAAAAGATAACACAACTCGAAAGCATTGATGATCCAAATAAAGTTGCAACCTTTGAGTTAATCCCGAGCACTCTGCTAACATCAACATCCAATCCACCACATCAATTAAACAAAGAGGTAGTTATGTTTTCACTATTATGAAGACTTAGGAGGCCAGATAACACAACTACAAAGCATTGATGATCATAATAAAGTTGCAACCTTTGAGTTAATCTCCAGCACATTGCTAAAATGAACATCCAATCCACCACATCAATTAGACAAAGCGCTAGTTGTACTTCAATAAGTGTCGAAGAACTAATGATTGAACATAGGTGCAATATTTGGGGCAATCGCTATAATAAATAAATACAGCAATTAAAAGCAAACAAAATGCATATATTTACATTAAAGAATTGTGTGTAAAGAACAGATACCTGTAGCCTTGTCGGAGGCATCATGATATATGGGCTCTTCCTCTGGGACAGGGTGAAGCCCTAAAGTGTCCTTGGCCGCAGCTTTGGCTGAACCGCCGCCGGAGGCTGCACGGCCATCTTTCTCATCGGGATATCTCACCACCACAACAGGGCAAACGCAGTGGTGGACGCAGTAATCGCTAACGCTCCCCAGCCGGCCTTTGGTGTTGCGCCTAGAAGCGCCGAATCCTCGGCTTCCCATGATCATGGTGCTCAACCCCAGCCTCTCCACTTCCAAGCACAGCCTCTCCTTCATGTCGTGGTCCTTCACAATATGGATCTTGAACGGAATATTCGCATCCACCAGCGGCTGCGCCACATCGTTGGCCTTAGTAGTGGTGAAATTGTCGAAGTCGTCCTCGACCTTCTGTTGAGCTTCCTCGTCGCCGGCGGAGGCGGCCTCGGTGTCGATGGAGAGATCGATGGCGCCCCAATCAGCGCCGTAGAGGACGGAGGTAGGGCGGACGTGGAGGAGGATGACGGCGTCCCCTGGACGGAGATAATTTTGGACCGCCCACTTCACGGCGTGAGCGCTCTCATCGCTGAGATCGACTGCGATGGCGATCTTCCGGTGGGCCCGGGAGGTGGGTGTGCCGGGAGGGAAGCGAGGGGAAGCTGGCTGGTGCGTAATCACCGTCGGCGGATGCTCAGATTCCACCACCACCCGTGGGTTTCTCGGTGACGCCATTATTATTTGTTTAAAAAAAAAAAACGAATGCAGAAATGAAATAAATTGCAAAAGTTTTGTGGGAATTAATGAAATGAGGAGTAATGGTGGATAAGTTTAGATCTTTTTGTCTGATTATAGTGTTGTTTGCGTGGAGGATTGCGAGTATGTCTATGCTGGGAAGAACGATGATGAAAGGTATAAGGGATTGGAAGCTTCTTGAGTTCGCCAGGAAATGGTCAATTTTGTAAATTTCTTTTTCTTTTAAAAATAAATGAACGAAATATTATTAACTTGAATTACGTGAAAATTATCTAATGATTTGATAGTATAATTCGGTTTTTTAGTTTTTATAAATGTCTTGTACGAACAATTCTATTCGTACTCATATAATAAATTAAGGGGTAAATACTTGGGAGGATCTAGCCTTGGTTAAAGTGAATTTGTGGATGAGTTGTTGTGTTCTGTAAAAGCTGCACGTTTGGTTGTGCATTATCTGAACCACTTTGTGACTAACATTTTGGTCTTTGGATGCACTCAGCCTGCAAACTCACTGTTCAATGCACTACACTACAGTTGCAACTTGCAAGAATCTCAATTTGGGCATTTATCCCAACAATAAGGAGGTGTTTGGTTGGATAGAAAACATTTTTCGAGTGGAAAATATTTTTTTAAAAGTGAAGGAAAACGATGTTTTATGTTGTTTTGTTGGATGGAAAATATTTTTCATTGGAAAAAGTTTTCCTTGAGAATGAACAAAACAAATTCCTAGCTCATTCTAGGTATTTTGTTTTTCATGGAAAATTAATATGACAATTTTACCTTTATCATTCTTTATTGATTACTTTTATTATTATTATTGTGTAGGGTTATATTTGTCAATATACTCATTATTCCTTACCATTCCAAACTCAACCAAACAATGGAATTCATATTCCCAGTAATTTCTTTCCACCAACCAAACAATTGAATCTATTTTCTTGGAATTTATTTTCCATAGAATTTCAATTCCATTTCCCTTCAAAATATTTTCCAGCGAACCAAACGAACTGTAATAATAACCCTTACGACCTTTAAAGAGTATTTTTGGGCAGACATCTCAAATTCAATAATTAGTGGTTAAGAAATTATTGAATGAAAGATAGTCCAGCACTTTACTTTTAGAAAATGTGACTTTATATAATGAAAGGGAAAATGGCACTTTTTCCCCCTAAGTTATATACTTATAGCACTTTTCCCCCCTGAATTATTTAAGTGGATCTTTTCTCCCCTAAAATGTTAAATGGACATATTCACCCTTAAAATAAATATTTCATTTATTTTTCTTCTCCAACAAATTATTACTATAATTTGGTTCAAACCAAACAGATATTATAGCAACCAAACTAAAATATTCCAATTACAATTTAGAATCAAAACGCGATATTTAGAGTTTATTAAAATCACAAATCGAAATGGTCGGTTCATGTTCCGAACTGAAAAAATAAAATACATTTATTGTTGAATTTAGACTATTTTAAAATAAAAAATAAAATAAAATTTAAAATAAAGACGGTTCAAAATCACAAACCGGATCCGAAACCGCCGGTTCACGGTTCATGATCCAGTTTTTTTGGTTCATAAATTTAATAAATTGAAATCTAAATATTGGATTCTAGATCTGAATCATAACCGGAAACTTTTAATTCGATTGCTATAGTGTCCAGTTCAGTTCGAACCGAACCGTGGTCATTGCTACATATACACAATAATTTGTTGGAGAAGTAAAATAAATAAAATATTTACTTTAAGGGTAGAAATGTCAATTTAATATATCAGGGGGAAAAACCACCACTTTTAAAATAATTGAGGGGGAAAAAGTGCTATAAGTATATAACTTAGGGGGAAAAAGTGCCATTTTCCCTATAATGAAATGAAATAAAGTTGCGCTTTCATTGTAAGCTATAGTTTTTGACATATGGTAAACGCTTAATATATTAGAGCCAGGTCACATATGTTAAGACTGGCGCTAGAAGGGGAATTTGTAGGCGAGATCGATAATGGGCCAAGTTCAATAATTAGTGGCGCGCTTGATCCTAACTAGTACTGAAAAGGCTAGATTTCATGAAGGAAACATTAGACATCTGCTGCCATACCAGGAAAAGTTTGAGTCCCCATTTTCTAACATATATACTTCATGCAAGATAGCAGCTAGTAAACCGAAGCCAACCAACTCTCGTGCAAACTTTTATACCAACTTAAAATTGGGTGTTGCTGGCCAAATCTAGTGGCGCTAAACCACAAGTAGTGGAAGCGTTTGTGGCTGTGATCTGCAGGTAGCCTGCCATATATGTTGGTTAGCCAGTTGGAGATATGGAATGGGATTTGGCTCAGTAAGCACCACAATAAAGCTTAATCTTTTTTTTTAATTGTGATAGATCGTGCACTAAAGCTGCTATTAGTGGGATTGGTGACTGGACTTTTAGCAGCTTAAAATGGATGCTTCAGCTGCTTCTTTCATATTTTAGTGTAATATAATACCCATTTAGACATGGTGTTCTGGGTTTTAGGCCATTCAATTTTATAAGCGATTATTTGTATGGTAATCATTGTTACAGGCATCCCTACTTATCAGATATGAATAACATATGTTTTAAATTAAAGTGTTGGCTGATAAAGATGGGCAGACAAGTTGATTGACGGTGTATTCAAGTTGACTTGGCCTCAAAATGAAAGCGATTTCTGTACAAATCACATTCATAAAGTGGCCGCCGTGGCTTTTCCTACTTTATTACTTTTACTTTTTTAAGTGACTGATTGAAAATGTGCATTAGTTAAATATTATTGAGATAAATTTCATTTCAAACTAAAAAAACTAAAAATATCAATAAATTACTTTCACAGAGAATTAAATTTTTAATTGTATGATTATCAAGTTAACAATCTGATCAATTTGATGGAGTTGTTGCAAGAATTCAAAAAATACAAATAAAAATAGGCATTATAACCACGTGGGGTTGTTGAGAAATTGGCCAATATTTTACAATATTGACCTCTTCTCAGTTCACATTGCCCACGGGTAAATGGGTGCAACTTGTTTTTTTTAATAAATAAAATTCTTGACTCTAAATTTGGTTTTCTTTAAGATTACAAAATTTTGGATTTTTTTAATGCAATAAAATATAAGATGAGCATGATAAGGTCAGACAACTAAGACCTTATCTCTTTGTTCACCAACATAACGCACACAGATAGACGCATCAATTATTAATAATTGCTTCAGTATACAATTCAATTTATCGATCAATTCAAATACTTTCATAAATTTTATTTTGTTAACCGTTACAAAATATAAAATTCAAATTCTAAAAAAATTGAAATAAAAATAAAAATTCAGTCGATTAAATTGCGCTCGCGATTTACCTCATTTACTAATCACCAAATTTTAGAATAAAAATCATAAAAAATTTTAAATTTAGAATTCAAACTTATAAATTAGTAATTCAGAGTAATAATTATTAATAAATATAAATAAAACAATAATGCATTGTTGATGATTAGATGCCGCCACAGATAAGAGTTGGCTGTCTAATAGTCTAATACGGCGTTAGCCTATCCCGTGATGTGGTCGGTATCATACCCCTATTTTTTTTTATTTTTTTCATTTTTTTCCGTTTAATTGAAGCCAACAACAATCCTAGACTCCTGGTCCATCCATATATCATGTCTATCCTCCAATTCATAATAAAATGTATAAACTTACAGACTTTTTTTCTTTTATCACAAAAGAGTATTTAATCTTTAATTATTGTTGTCAAGGCCTTTGTGATCTGCTAACACCAAATTACTTTTTCATATAAAAGGTTGTGGATTCAAGTCTCAATGTAGGCGGTACAGACTTTTTGTGACCGAAGTTATTGATATTTGATAGTGCTACATTTTATATTTGGGTAAAAATAATTTAATCATTAAAATTTCAAAATGAGTAACTAAATAGATGTAGATGAAATATGATTTTCATACAACAATACCGGCTTTTTGTTAATACATTCTAAATTGAATTTATAATACAAAATTTTTTTAAATGTAAAAAATTTACTCAATATATTATATATTCTTAATAGTAATTTAATTTCCTGTTAATAAAGAAAAAAAATTGACCGTTAATTCATGGGATGTTGGAAAATGGAATAGTTTTGTCTCCGTCATTATCTCTCTCCCTCGTGAAATTATTGGCGAAAAAGCATAATCCTATATTTACGATGACACGTGGCGCCAGCTGGAACGTCAACATTGACCATTATTCCTCGCGCCAACCAAATCCCTACCCTCTCTGCTTTTAATCTCCCCTGTCTGGAAACGCTTACAGGGTGGGTCGCCATTCTCCAGCCACCATATCTTCACCTAATTAATAATTATACAGCCTTTTGTATACATAATATCGTCATCGTTTACACGCCCCATTTCTGCATCTGTATCTCTCTTCATCTTTATCTGCATAAATTTAAGAGAGAGAAAGAGGAGGAATGGGGGAAATGGAGGCGTTGGAGAAGGGCGTGGTTGGCGCCGATGTCAGAGGGGAGGAGGAGGAGAGGTTGTTGGAAGGGGTGGCTGTGTTGGATTTCGATGTGCTGTGCGCGACGGTGGCCATGCAGGCCCAGAACGGGAAATGGGGGAAGTTGGTGGATTTGAACGATGAAGAGGATATCGATGGGTATGGATACGGGAATGGAGACGGGAGAGGGGCTTTCCGGATGTGGGAAGGCGAGCTTCTCTATGATTGTCTCGATGATCGTCGAATCGCTATTCAATCCACTTGGTATCAACACGCTTCCTTCTTTTTTTGTTTTTGTTGCTTCAATCCATTCCTCATTTCAAACCCAATTTTTGTTTCTTTAGCCTTTTGTTAAAAGCTTGAATCTTTCACAATTCCCAGTTGAAGAACTGCAAATTATTGGCTATTGGGTTGTTTAGCAGAGAGTTGGGGACTGAATCCTCTCCTTATCTAATTTGTTTTTAAATTCAATTATTCCTTTTCACTCTTTCAATTATGGAAAAGACTGGGTAAAGTTATGGGATTTGCAATTTTGTTTCTTTCTTAAGAAAATTGAGCAATTTGGGTTTCAGTTTGGGAGGATTCTGGCCTTGCTATCCAATTCTTTTGCTGAATTTGATATGTTAGTTGATGTAAAATGTTTTTGGTTCTGTTATGCCTAAATTAGAGGTTGTGGCTATTGCTGACTAGAATTTTTGTCTTGCAGTTGTCCATGCTACAGATTTGGGAAAAACATGAAACGGGCTGGTTCTGGGTCTGGTTTAATTCAGGTAAATACTTTTCAATATCAATCATTCTTGGAAGCTGTATGCTATTCTATGCATTAAATGTTACTATATCTATTTGCACTTGACTTGCCAGAACAAGGATAATATTGATGGTCAATATAGTTCTTTGGACCTATCTTTCTAAAATTGAAGTATAGTTCCTTGGACTTCACTAGACAATTAGTCAATTTGACTTCAAATTTATTGATGCTAAAGTGCTTGATATGAGCTGCAATTTGATGATAGAAACGGTCTTCTGCGTTTTGGGGAATATTTGTGGACTGCAACTAGTCAACTGTGTCAACATGAGTGTTCATATTGTTAATACATTACTAATTATTATGTATATTGATGGTTAATTTATGCCCTTTTTTTGCAGGGATTTATTTATATGGTCGCTCTCGTGATTGCCCTTCTAAACATGTTAGCATTCGCCATTACCAAGAGACACTATTTCCTATATATAGCCATTGCCTTTACAATCTCCCTTGGAGCTTATTTGGGGTTCCACCGAACCCAAATTAGGAAGAAGTTCAATATTAGGGTATGTGTTTCTTCGTCCTTGGTCTATGCTAATATATCTTAATTTTTCTGGTGATTATTTCTGTGTTTGATTCTGCAGGGTAGTGATAGTTCTTTGGATGATTGTGTCTACCATCTGATTTGTCCATGCTGCACCTTATGCCAGGTCTGTTCTCCATTTCAATATCGATTTATATAACATACAGTCAACATATATGGACACACGTTTCAATCATGGAAAAACATGTTTTAGCTCACTTTGATGACTTAATGTGCTCTTTTTATTCAGTGTTGCTATAGCTACTTCCCTTCTTTAATTTATTATAGTCTAATTTGGAGCAGGAGGCAAGAACGTTGGAAATGAACAATGTCCAAGATGGCATCTGGCATGGTAGAGGCGATACAGTATGTGTAGGAAGCTATTGTGTAGGTGGTAAGGCGTTGTTTGGATTAAATCCTCCCGCTGTCCTCTCTATGAAGTCCTCTGAACCCATTGCTCCCCTCATAGCACCAAACGACACCAATCAACCAAATGCTTCTGATGTTGGACACCCATCTCCACCTGCCTAATATATATTCATTCTGAGCTCGGGCATCCCTCGTGTGGGGAAAAACATTATGGAAATTAGGTTGGCAAATGTGCATCATGGCCTTCGATTTCCACACGACATTTTCTGGTTTTGAATTGAACTAGACGTGTCGTAAATACTCCAATGGGGGAACTCACTCAGAAGACAGATGAATTGTTGTGTTTTAGGTCCATTTATTCTTAGAGTAGCCACAGCTTTATAATGTATATAGTTAGGTTGTATGGTAATATGCAATTGTAAGTTGTGACCTCATATAGAGAAGATAATAGGTGTTAGTGAATGGAGTCTCTCTGGCTATGTCTCCTCTGTAATATATTGTATTCTGTATTTCATACATATATGAGAAGAATGAATAAGTAGAGTTTAGGAAAAATCACACTCTCTCTTAAATTAATTGCAATTGGCACCAAAAAGAGATTCTTTGTGATAAGAAAGAGGAAAAGATTCCATCTTTAACCCAACTTTCTTTCACTTACAATATAGACCATTCCAGGATCTTCACACTATAACAGACAGAATAGTGAATGGATAAATTACACTGATTCAATAGTCCATTTATACCATCTACCACTCTTTATTTTGTTTCTACATGGTTAGCAATCTTATATATTATTATTTTTCAGAACTAAGATTGATCAACAGACCAAAGATTCTTTTAAATCTCTTAGTCATGCTTGGGAGTTTCGAACCACTTTTCTTTCAAGAATTGGTCGTCCATGCATTTCTTCCCCGCCGGCGGCCACCGCAGCCGCATAACTTGGAGCAATTCCGGAGTTTCTTACCCCGTGGAACATCGGCAGATTCACGCCGTCGGTTGCGACCCTTTGAGACATTTCATGGTTGTCCAAAGCCTTAGCTTGCCCAACGCCGCCGTCTTGGAATTGGGCTATGCTAGAAACTGGATGAGAAAACCCGACCGGAACTTGACCTTGACGGGCTGCGAATTGTGGTTGAATATATGGAGCGCCAACGGGCATCGGATTTCCGGGCTGGAATGGACCCGGCGTCACGTAGTAAACGGGTACGGGTTGCACTTGCGGTCTTGAATAATGCGAAAACGGGCTTCCCGGGTACCCGGACTGTTGTGGAACCGGCTCGGAAACATTTCCAGTCGACGTTTCTTTGGATTCTACGGCGGGAACCGGTTTTGTTTTGACGGGTGGGAGATCCGGCATGACGGTGACGGTGACGGTAGGCGGAACCGTTAACGACGGGGAGGAAACGACCGGAGCGGGTGAACCCGGATCCGAATTCGAAACATTGTCATGCAAAAGCTTCTTATTCTTCAACCTAAACTCGCGAGGCCGGTCATCCAAATTGTCGAAAAAATAATCCGGCGGGTCTGAAATGACGGAGGAAACCTCCGACCGTCCACGCTCCAAAACCGGTTCACAGTTAAGCGCGTCGATGAACCACTGCTCGCTCTTAGCCGAGCCGTCGAGAATGGAGGTGATGGCGGAAGCCGGCGTGGAGTGATCAGCTTCGTTAGGGAAAAGGAAGAGCCGCAACCGAGCCGACTTCTGAGCGGCGTGAACCAGCAGCCGGTCGTACTCCTCCACCATGTTCTCCACGTCCTCGTCGGAAGTGACGGTGATGAGAGCGTCCAGGTCCTCGTTGGGGAGCTGGTATTTCAAGCACATATTCCCAAACCCCGACAGTTTTGACAGTTTGGCGACGAGGGACGAGAAGTTGGTTCGACGGTCCACCGCCACTATGCGGGTGTCGCCGCCGACGTAGCGCAGCTGATTGTCGAAAGGACGGGGGAGGATTTTCCCGCCGAAGCTGCACATCAAGCGCACCGGCGGCGACGGTTGCGCTTGCATGGAGGCGGCGGCGCCGTCGTCTCGGTACGAGCGCGGAGTGGAAGTATTGGAACCATTCTCGGTTGCAAGATGGAGAGCCGCCATCACTGTAATTAGAATGTGGAGGGAGAATCAAGAATATTGGGGTATATATATTGTAAAAATAGTGGGCTCACGGAATATAATGGGGTTAGGGTAGCAGGTACTGTTAGCGTAAATTCCATCTCAACATGGCCTCCATGCATTCTAACTAGCTAGTTCATCTTGTTCTTGCAAGACCATACCACCAGGAATTGTTCCGCTAATTTAATGATAAGTAGATGAATATTAACCATTTAATAATTTAATCACATCCCTCCATGATAAGCTACAAAGTTATACTTGGAGCTGAACTCGCTCAACTTGACCCACGCCAAACAGTTTATCTATTATTTCGTAGTTACATATATATTAGTGTCACAACAATGGTGCATTGTTGATAGTCCATAGATTCATCATGTCATATATAATGTGCATATAAGGAAAGATGGAGTAAAATAATGGTGAAACAGAGTAGATAGGTGCGGTATGCAGTAGGCACCATTATTTTTTATTCAACGGTGGGCGGTGATTGAATCACTTTATGGATAAGCCGATAAGGACACTTTAATTTGAAGCATATAGAAAAAGCTGCCTCTTATATCAACCAATCAAATCATTTCAACATGCAGTGTGGCTCCCACCCAACTTGAAATGTATGTATGTCAACTTTTACACTTGTGTTACCCAAAATCCAGTATTAAACTCCAAGTAGTGCCACAATATAATTCTGCATTATACAAACAAAAGGAAAAAAAAAAAAAACACTTTTAGAGAATGAAATCTCATGGATGATAAATTAACACAAGTACTCGACAGCTAGTTAACGCAATCGATCAAAAATAAAGTATATTGCTAAAAAAATTTGAAAGATAATGAATGTTGTTATTCCTTTTAGAATAAAGGATTTAAAACTCTTTACATGCCCATTTTCTAGGTATTGGTATAGCTGACTGCACGAGCTTAGCTCAATAATTCAATAAATAGTACTTAAGAGAAAAAATTAAAGTACGAAATTTAGTCGCAGTAGTGTGGAGATTATGCTCAAAGTGGACAGATGAGATTTAATCCAAAGTGGGCATCGACATATTTGGCTCTGTCTGTTGGGTCATTGAGTTACCGTGATTTACATTATTCCAAACGTTCTGTCGGATCGGGATGTGGGGAGCCATTGAAATTGGGGATTCAATCTTTTAGGAGAAGGTATTGATATAGCTTAATGAGAAAATCACACTTTTGGTGCCTAAATTGTTTCATTTTTCAAAATTTGGTCCATATTAATTGATTTAAACAAATTTAGCACATTAATTGTTCATAATGTTGAACTTGTAGTCCTTAGTATTACATAATTGTCATACTCCATTAACATATAAGGTTAACTTTATCATTTAGAGTCAATATTCATTGCTAAAAATAATGTTACACATGAAGAGAGTGAAACTTTAACCATGTTTATTGATTCTAATTTTTTTTTTTAATTTTAAAAAACTCATAAAAAATAGTTTACTAACAGAGAGACTAAAAACGCAACATAATTAATAAACAATTATAAGGGATTGATAGAAGAATATTTTTTCATTAACAATTAAGGGATTGCTCACAAGGAGGACAAAGCTAAAATATGTTTTTACCACTTTGGTTGTGGAGGACAAGAAATCGAAAGTTGTTTAATGATTCTCTCTTGACTCCCCAACAGCTTGAATTGAATTGTTAGAAATATATATGTACGTGGAGCATGATTGATGACTATACTAAAGCAAATAATTGTTGGCTATTGTAAGAAGTGGAAAGCTGGAAACTCTTTTTTTTTTTTTTAATGCTAGTAACTCTATTACATTGTAGTATCTGTTCAAACATATTTTCTTAACCTAATGAAATACACAGAGTCAATAATGTCTTCACTGAAACTCGATCTCATGACCTCCTACATGGGAGAGGTCACTTCATGTCTACATGCCATTTGAGCACAAAGTGCTTGACATAGGAACTCTTATTTAGACGCTAATTTTCTTTATTTACTACTACTAGTTCTTTTGGTTAGGATATATAGGTAAATATGCATGCTTATTTTTTGTTGGCTAATTTAACCTCCCTTAAGATGTATTTATTTGTTGGCCTTGTTGTATATATATTTTTCATATTAATATATTCATCCTTTCAATAATAAAAAAAAAAAGTTATGTTTTGTTTTGTTTGTTTTTTTTTTTAAAAAAAATCAATTAGAATATGGTATATTAATAGATTTTTTTTTTTAAAGTGAATGTAATATTATACTTAGTGATACTCATGCATGTTGATAAGAATGTAGTTTAAAACTTATAATGGGTCACATCAAGGGTCCAAAGAATAAGTTTGATGTCGGTCCAATAAAAAAATGTTCTCATATGTGCTTTCTATATCACCCTTCCTTTATTCTAGAGGGTTAGAAGATTGTATCAGTAATTAAAATAATAAACTCGCTAGATTAAACTCGATTCTAAAGTATTAGATCAACTTGTCTTAATCGGGAGAATTACATTAGGCCGACCTCCGTCTACCATGCATGCGCTATGACATTATTATAGGACTATAGGCCACCATAGTTTGACAATATTAATGTGTCATTTGATTGAATAACTACATTCACCAAATAATTAAAGTTTGTCACGTTTGGTCCACTTACAAATTATCATAATGGCATAATTAAGCTAAGCTACTCGATTTAGTTTACAATAAACAACAAATAATCTAATTGATTGTAAGTTCTAACATCTTCATCTCACTACTCTTTGTAATAGCTTAGCATCCTTTGGTTGATTATTCTAGTCACCTTTGTAATTGACTTTATAAGGCCTCTATTACTTTATTACTACACTAATAATAAGAGACACAAACTTCTCTTCCCTACATATATTTTTAAGTAGGATATAACAATTAAATAGTCAAAAATTTTTATGGTTAAACGTGATTAACTTACAACTTAATTTTCTATCAATAATGATAATGTAATTGCAACAAATGCAATAACAAAAAATAAAATTTAATGTGAGAAATTGAAGAAAGTAAATTGACTTCACATCGCCTAATATATGCAAGTGTTGTAGCCCAAAGAGGGATTCAATCCTGTGAGTCTATGACTTTCTCTGAAGGAGAGTTATCAAGGAGCCAATTGAGCACAAGGTGCTTGACATATGAAGTTGTACTTTGTAATTTTGTATTTAATAGAGTTATATATCTTCTATCTATATTTAATAAAATTAAATATATCTATCCAAAAAAAATATATATACAACATATAATATCACCAAAAATAAAATACACTGACACCATAAATGTGCTATCACAGTATCACACATCTAAATTGACATCTTTAATTTATTAATGAGAATATTGAAGTTACTGAGGCCTCCTGAAGTCACTACTAGAAATTATGAAATTTCCGACCATCTGAAAGTGATCTTAAATCAAGTTGAAATTAAAAAGTGGTCGGAAATAACAACAAAGGTTTTTCCGGATATCAAAAGTGGTCGGAACAAGACTTTCGACTTGATTTAAGATCAATTTCAGGTGGTCAAAAATTTCAAAATTTCCAGTAGTGAGTAGAGATTTGAGGAATGAGTAACGAGAAAAATTGCAAATATTATTTGAGAGTGTGTATTAAGTAAAATCTGTCTTGTGAGTTGTGACTCTCTATTAATAAAAGATCACAATGTTATAAATTAATTTAGGTTACTTATAGTGATTGACTCAAACTAAGAACGTTAAAGAGACAATTATATTGAAATATATATTAAAAATAAAATGGAGATATTCTAAGAAGTCGTAAAATAGAATTTTCAGCATGCATGATTGTAAGGCAATTATATTGGAATAATTATCTTATGTAAAAGATATTCGATCATACAATTTTTTTTTCTTATTTAAATTGTCTATTTATCTCTCCCAATCATTTACATTTGTATATTATATTTGGATGATTTAACCTTAAACTAACAATTTTTTTAATATGATATTGACATATATGAAAGGCAAACAATGCTTTTGTACCACTTTTTTTAACCCTTTTCTCACTAATTATTTGTTTTATTATCTCTCCTTCAATACGGTGTATGACTATTCTATGACTTATCTTCTTTACGAGTAAGGTTGTAAATGAATCGTACATGAACGAACATAACATGTTTGTATTTATTTGTTAAGATTTTTAGAATGTTTGCGTTCGTACTCGTTTGTTAGTGTTCATTAATGTTTGCGAATGTCACTTTGTTCACGAATGCTAAACAAACAAACACAGGTACATGTTCATGATCATAATTTGTTCATAACAACGAATAATCTATGTTCACAAGTAATAATTAAACAAATCTCATTAAAACTATAAAAATAATACAAATAAGTTCAAAAGTAGCATTATTAAACGAGTCTGTTTGTGAACACTATTAAACAAACACTAAACAAGTGTGTCCATAAAGATTAATAAACGAGCTTAATTGCTCAAAAATTTGTTCATTTATGTTCATTAAACAACACTTACCAAACAAATATGAGCAATTTACCAAAAATTATATTCACTCACACCCCTATTCACGAGTAGGGTTTAGGGTGGCCAAACATAAACATATATATAATTACGGTTCCTGTCAAATTTTATTTATTTAATCGCCCATCAAATTCATACAAATATTTTTTTTTTTTTTTATAATTTTTCATTATGAAAATAATTAACTATTGCATTACAACTTTGCTGAAATAGAAATCTGCAGCCAAATTTCAACTCCGGGGACTAAAAACAGCGGTCCAAAATCATGGTTGACAAGTCGATTTTTAGTAAAAATGTGGTTTTTCTATATACAGACTATTTGTCAAATAACATTCACAGTTGACAAGTTTAAGGAACAGCCATTGATCATCAAATGATTCATAAAGATTCCTATGATAGAGGGAAAGATTATTGAAGGCATTGGAATCTTTAAGTTGCTGCAGAATATATAATTACACTTTGCAGTCTCTCTCCTGCTATAAGTATAGCGTTTACATTCACATCAGAAGTGCACGCATTTGCTCTCTCTTACAATTCTGTTCATCTAAGTATATTACTCAGAAACACATTTTCCTTGTTATAGCAGAGCAAATACACAGACATGACTATTACCATTGATGAATCAAGTAGAAGCCCAACCAGGCTTGAGGTATTTTCCTGCTGTTTTGAAACTTTAAAATGTGGTTTTTTTTTTTCGTGATTGGTGAAATAAAAAGATTTTTTATTGCAGGGGAAACGAAGTGCCATGGTAGTATGCTGGATTCTTGGACTTGGGTCTCTGGTATCTTGGACTAGCATGCTGACAATAGGAGATTACTATTATCAACTGTTTCCTGTGAGAATATAATCTCTTTAATTTGTCTCTCGATCGGATTGAATCTCCGGAAAAATTTATGTTTAGTGAAATGTTTTATGATTTTAACTGAGTATTATATTTGTTGTTTGTTGTTTGTTGTTTGTTGTTCTTGTTTTGCCATTAAGAAATACCATCCTTCAAGGGTGCTCACCCTTGTGTATCAACCATTTGCAATTGGAACAATTGCAATTCTTGCATATAATGGTGAAAAGCTGAATACAAGGAAGAGAAACTTAGCAGGATACATACTATTCTTCTTGGGCACATTTGCTCTCCTACTGGTATCTTTGATCAGCTTGGACTTTTTACTGTCATCTTTAATTTATCCAAACTGATTCAATTCCCATGTGTTGGTAGTTAGATTTAGGCACATCAGGGAAGGGTGGGCTCGGAAATTACATAGGAATTTGTGTTATTGTTGCATCATTTGGAGTTGCAGATGCCAATGTTCAAGGTGGAGTTATTGGGGACCTGTCTTTCATGTGTCCTGAATTCATCCAAGTATGTTTCCAGATTCTTCGTCGAATTCCTGGTTTCTCAATCCAATTGTTGGGGTTTATAGTTGAGGTTGTTAATTTGTCACCTTGCATTGCAGTCATACTTAGCTGGTGTAGCTGGATCTGGGACACTGATTTCTGGCTTGAGGCTAGTGACAAAAGCAGCTTTTGAACACTCTAGTAATGGTCTCCGGAAAGGAGTTAGTATGTGCTTATTACACAATAAAAATTGAAATTTTAATCTTGAATCCTATTTTAGAAACCCATACATACTAGTCTTTGAAAAGTATTTTAATTATGGCTTCTGCAGTCTTGTTCCTGGCAGTTTCGACGTTCTTTGAATTCCTATGTATTATTCTTTATGCATTCATCTTCCCCAAGTTACCAATCGTGAAATACTATCGCGCAAAGGCAGCTTCAGAGGGATCAAAAACTGTTGCAGCAGATTTAGCTGCAGCTGGCATCACAGCCACACCAAGTGAAAGTGTATTGAAAAGTTCCATCTTGAACAAGTTTAAGTTATTGGCTTCTAGCTAGCTATTTCTTTCAGATTTTGATATATGACTTCCATTACCAGCACAGGTTGATGATGCTAAGCATGTGGGGAGGCTGAGCAACAAGAAGTTGTTCATGGAAAACATTGATTATGCATTGGACATCTACCTCGTATATGTTGTAACTTTGTCGATTTTCCCTGGATTTTTATACGAGAATACTGGAACCCACAACCTTGGCTCATGGTAACTATGCCTTATTTTCAATGAATTACTAGTTGCAGCTAATCATTGTTTTTCTTCATGATCTTTATAAGTCTCAACTTGACAGATAAAATTGACTGTTGTATTCAAGTTCTTACTGCTGATTGATTCAAGCATATATACCCATTGCAGGTATCCTACGGTTCTGGTCGCAGTGTGCAATCTCTGGGATTTCATATCAAGATACATTCCCCTCATCAAGAAACTTGAGTTAAAATCCAGGAAGGGGCTGATGATAATAACATTATCGCGTTTCTTGTTGATCCCGTGTTTCTATTTCACCGCTAAATATGGCGACCAGGGATGGATGATCATGCTCGTATCTTTCCTCGGACTAACAAATGGTTATCTCACTGTCTGTGTCCTTACTGCTGCTCCCAAAGGTTATAAGGTGAGTTGCTCTTAATCTTGATTGACTATGTTAATGCCAATCACCCAATTATATATTCATCATCAAAACTAATCCCCTAATGTTGATAGGGACCGGCGGCAAATGCATTGGGTAACATTCTAGTATTGTGTCTTCTTTCTGGCATATTTTCTGGTGTGGCTCTAGACTGGTTGTGGCTAATTGGTAATAGTGGGTTTTGAGGAAAAATCAATTATAGATTATATTATAGTGTTATTCAGTATGTTTCGTAATCTAAATTTTACAAAGAATGATTTTCTTTATGAAAAATGATACGTGGACTCCAAGGACTAAAACTCTGAACATGTGTTTTGTTTTTATTAGAGGAAGATGAAAAGAAAAAAAAAAAAATTGTAGCCCATATTTTTCTGGATGAATCAAGTGTGCCATGTACGTAGGGAGTATAAAATTAAATAGAGTAAAAAATGAGAGTATGTGTAGTATTACTCTTTATTTTGTGACTCATTTGGCAAATGCAAAATTGTTAATCTCAAATTATCATATGTTTCAACTCTCTAGAGTAAAAACATTTATCCACAATTATTGATTTAGTGGATGAGAAGATTCACTTAAGACTTGTTTTCAACAGTAAGGTAAATGTGGAGTTGTTTTGAATCTTTATTGACTATGCACCAAAAATATAATACGGTGTAGTACTTAATATATGTATGTATAAATTATTGCAAACTCGACGCATGCGCTGTGAACTATGAATGGATGATGCACAAATATTGCACGAACTATGCACACTAGACGAATATGGTAATTATAAATGGGAATACAAAATATTTTGTGGTGAAGATAAAATAATGAGAAAAAAAGGTAAAGAATTGAAACTAAATGGTTATAATAATATATACATTTTTGTAATACGGTTATAATAATAAATACATTTTTGTAATACGGTTATAATAACACGCGCGGTCCTCCTCTGCCTAGGGCAGCTTACTTGCGGCCAGTGTAACCAAAAATTTACTTGGTTAATTGCAATTTCTTTATTTAGAGATGATAAGGAAGAGTGTCAAGATGATGGAACTGAGCTGAGCAGTACATTTTTGTAAAATAATAATAATAATAATAATAATAATAATAATAATAATAACTCTTTAAGCATAAGGCACAATATTTTAAAGGAATAAGTGTCAAATAGATCATCAAACTACACACGAAATTGCAGTTAGATCATCAAACTCAAAAAAAATTACAATTACGTCATTGAATAATACAAAATTATGCAATTGAACTAAAATTGGCTTATTTACCCGTTGATGGCTAACATGACGATTACTAGATTAAAAAAATAATTTTAATTTAAAATTACAATTATTAATAAATAATTAAAAAAAAAAAAAAAACTAGCAGGTCTGTCTCCAGGTTGCAAGAGACGAAGGCACGAGTAGGATTTTTTTTTTTTTAAATAATTTTAATTTAAATTTAAAATTATTAAAATAAAAAATTATTTTTTAATTTGATAACCGTTACGTCAACCATCAACAAATAAACAGGTTATTTTTTATTTAATTGCATGTGTTTGTATTATTCAGGGACTTAATTGTAATTTTTTAAGTTCGATGATCAAATTGTAATTTAGTGTGTATTTCAATGGCATATTTGACTCTTATTTCTATTTTAAAATAGAGGAAGGCACAATGTTTGAGAGGGTTAGTAATATAATTCATTTTTATTTTCTTTTAAAAACATTTCAAAAATAGTAATTTTTCTAACACCACGTCACCTAAAAAAAATTAAAATGAGTTGAAAATATTATATTTATGTTGTAGACTTCTCCTTTGTTTTTTCATGTTATATATGTTTTTGAGATATTATTTTGTTTCTTTTTTCTTCAAAATTTTCAACAAATTATTTATTTTATTTTTTTTTTGAAGAGAATTTTTCAACAAATTATTAATTAATAATTGAGAGCTATCTGCGGGCAAGCAATTTTTAATCTATATTATACTCGTACATAGTACGGAAACCGGAGTAATTTTTTTTTTCACTCTTTTCTAAATCTTAAAAATTGTTCAGTTTTTGACTTATAACTTTAAGAGCATCTACATCTGTAGATATTTGAAAGATAATATCAGATTCATTCTCTTGAGTGGGAATAATATCAAATGTGGGGAAGAAATAAAGTTGGGAAGAATTGCCTTGCAAAGTTGAAGAGAATGACAAAAAAGAAGAAGAAAAAAAGTAAGGAACATGGCCCGCTGTGCGCGTTTCGCGCACAGCAGCCGCCCACACGGGCGCGTCAAGCGCGCCTAAACCTTTTGTTTTTGTTTTTTTTTTTTTTTTTGGTTTTTAGTTTTTTTTTTCCTCCCCTTCTTCCATTCTCTTTCCTAATCACTCTTACATTATCCCCAAATCTCCCCAACTGATGTGAATGCTCTAAGGAAGATACTCTTACAGAGTTACAGTCTTACTTCGTATATTTGAACTTAAAATAAAATAAAATTTTGAGTGTGATAAATAAATATATCACCAACTCACTACATTCAATAAACAAAAGTATAATAAGTGTGGATGATGAAATCAAATTGATCGAATTTTTGACTTTGTAATCAGAAGGTTTTAATTAAATGGGAGTGGGCTTGTTTACCTTCTTATGATTCTTTGTCGACTAGGTCACAAGACAAGATTTACTCAATGCACACATTTAGATAGGTTGCGTATTTTTCTCGTCACCATATGTGTATATTCATTCCAGCCTGAAATCACATATATTCATGTCCACAAATATACATTTTTATAAAGAATAAGAATATGCACATATATATGTGGTCTATTGAAGTACCAAAGATAGATACAAAATTCTTAGCTTTTAAGAACAGTTGAATCAATTTCTTAGATACTTTTTGGGATTTAGTCCGAAGGCATCATAGATTATACTGTATATCATGTTCTACGATCAACTTCTTGACAATGAATAATTCTGCGATAAAACCCAGCTGCTACTTGAACTCTGTTAGATGACACCATTGGAAGTTATGTTTCCTTCTTTTCACGCATCCATCATCATATCATCAAAAAAAAAAAAAAAAAAAACTCTCTCTGCTGTGCGTGCAATTCTGCATATATTTATTAATTGTCCATTTTTCTCTACCCTAACATTCACATTTGTATATTATATTTGGATTATTTAACCCAGCCTTAAAATAACAGTTCTTTTTTAATATGATTTTGCTTTTGCACCAATATTGCTTTTGCACCACTTTCTGTTCCCTTTTTTCCCACTAATTATTTGTTTTATTATCTCTCTCCTTCAATACGGTGTATGGCGGCTATGGCCTATCGTCTTCACGAGTACGGATAAGGGTCAGGGTGGCCAAACATAAACATAATTATGGGTCCTGCCATTAATCATCAATGATTCATAAGAGATTCATATGATCGAGGAGAGAAAGATTATCGAATGCATTGGAATCTTTAACTCGCTGCAGAATATTTAATTCACACTTTGCAGTCAAGACTGTACAGCGGCCATACCGAGGTAGACTCATCTCTTTTTCAATCTTATATTTGTCTCCTGCTATAATTATAGCGTTTACATTCACATCAGAAGTGCACGCATTTGCTCTCCATCTCTTTCTGTTCATCTAAGTATATTGCTCAGAAACACATTTTCCTTGTTTTTTTTTTGGTTGTAGCAGAGCAAATACACAGACATGACTATTCCCATTGATGAATCAAGCAGAAACCCAACGAGGCTTGGGGTCATGTCGTGATGTTTTCTGGTTTTTCTTTCTTTTTCCGTTGGGTTGAAACTTGAAAATGTGATTTTTTTTTTTAATTGAAGGGGAAACCGAGTGCCATAGTAGTGTGTTGGATTCTTGGACTTGGAACTCTGGTATCTTGGAGTAGCTTACTGACAATAGGAGATTACTATTATCAATTGTTTCCTGTGAGAATCCCTTTGTCTTTCTGAATGAATCTCCAGCTTTATGTTTGGTTAAGTGTTGTATGATGTTTTACTGAGTATTATGTTTGTTGTTTGTTGTTGTTGTTTTGCCATTAAGAAATACCATCCTTCTAGGGTGCTTCCCCTGGTGTATCAACCATTTGCAATTGGAACAATTGCAATTCTTGCATATAAAGGTGAAAAGCTGAATACAAGGAAGAGAAATTTAGCAGGATATATACTATTCTTCTTGAGCACATTTGCTCTCTTACTGGTATCTTCAGCTTGGCCCTTTTACTGTCATCATCACTGCTGTCATCTTTAATTTTTCCAAACTGATTCAACTCATATTTGTTGGTAGTTGGATTTAGGCACATCAGGGAAGGGTGGGCTCGTAAATTACATAGGAATTTGTGTTATTGTTGCATCTTTTGGAGTTGCAGATGCCCATGTTAAAGGTGGAGTTATTGGGGACCTGTCTTTCATGTGTCCTGAATTCATCCAAGTATGTTTCCAGATTCTTCGTCGAATTCCTGGTTTCTCAATCCAACTTTGTGGTTTATAGTTGAGGTTGTTAATTTCTCACCTTGCGTCGCAGTCATACTTAGCTGGTTTAGCTGCTTCAGGGACATTGACTGCTTGCTTGAGGCTAGTGACAAAAGCATCTTTTGAACACTCCAATAATGGTCTTCGGAAAGGAGTTAGTATGTGCTTCTCTTCAGCCCCTCACAACAGAGATTGAAATTTTAACTTCGAATCCTATTTTACAACTTTCCATTATGGCTTCTGCAGTCTTATTCCTGGCAATTTCGACATTCTTTGAATTCCTATGCATTATTCTTTATGCATTTGTCTTCCCCAAGTTACCAATCGTGAAATACTATCGCGCAAAGGCAGCTTCAGAGGGATCAAAAACTGTTGCAGCAGATTTAGCTGCAGCTGGCATCACAGCCACACCAAGTGAAAATGTACTGAAAACTTCCATCTTGATCAAACAAGTTTAAGTTCTTGCTATTTGTTTCAGATTTTGATATATAACTTCCACTGTCTGCATAGGTTGATGATGCTAAGCAGGTGGAGAGACTGAGCAAAAAGAAGTTGTTCATGGAAAACATTGATTATGCATTGGACATCTACCTCGTATATGTTGTAACTTTGTCTATTTTCCCTGGATTTTTATACGAGAATACTGGAACCCACAACCTAGGCTCATGGTAACTATGGCTGATTTTCAAAGATTTACTAGTGGCAGCTAATCCTTGAGTTTCTTCATGCTCTTTATAAGTCTCAACTTGACATATATATACACATACCCATTGCAGGTATCCTATTGTTCTGGTCACATTGTGCAATCTCTGCGATCTCATATCAAGATACATTCCCCTCATCAAGAAAGTTGAGT